ATGGAATGATCTAATTGCTTCAAAAAATGTCAGTCACATAAACCACAAACAGTTCTGCCTAAAGAACTAACAGGATTAGTTAAAAACAAAACAAGACTCAAAAAGTTGCAAAAATTTCTCAGTTGATACTATGGAAGAATACTTGTGAGGTAACAAGTTCGAGTCCAGATAGACCCATTTATGAGGCCCTTACTCTGTCTTGTTGGAATTACACGAGTCAGTCTGCAAGACAGAAATGGATTAAAATAGTTGGGTTGATGAGAGCCAAGTCCAGGACCTGTAAGGAGGCAGGGGAAGGGGGTATTTCAAAGAGCAACATTTTCTGCAGGTTGGCTTAATGGTCTTGTTTTAGTGAAACTGGGTTGTTCTCATATCTTTATGAATGAACAAGAAATTTCTAGGGTCATTTCAGAAAAATCTATCGACTAAGGATCACACTTGTGCAGTACCAGTCATGCAAGGGCAATATTAGCTCCTGAAGGGTCACATGTAGCATGGGCTCCCAGGACACTTGAATTAGCATGCCGTTCGGTCATAAAATTTCTAAATTATCTGAAGGGGAAATGGCAATCACTCCCAGTTATTCTGACTGTGGTCCTTTCCCAACTTTGTAGCAGTACAATTAAGATGAATCAAACAAGGATTTCCCCGGCAGTCCAGTGGTCAACACTCTGCACTCCCAATTCAAGGGGTGCAGGTTCGATCCCTGGTTGGGGAAGTAAGATTCCACATGCCATGTGGTGTGGCAAAAAATAAATAAATAAAAGATGAATCAGACAGAAGAGTTTGGGGCCCTGAGGAACTTTCCCACACATTCTCCTGACATCACATTCAAATCTGAGATAGAATATACTTTCTAAAACTTAACTTCTCCTGAACTTGAGGTAAAAGGAAAATTTAATATACTTAGCTTCAAAAAGTACACAACTTAGATTAGAAAATTTTAAATAATTTATTAGTAAGTCAAATGAAGTAGCTCCTTGCAGTAAAGTGAAAAAACACTTAAAATTTTTGCTCAAAACATAAACTATAGTCTCCCTGTACCCTTGAATTAAGAAGCCATAGTCTCCCTATTGATTATTGTTTCTGTGATTATTTTCACAGCCAAGCAGCAGTGTGATGGACAGCTGGATAAGTGTAAGCTTACTGATTAGACATGTCCACCTACTTCCTTAATTCCAGATGTGAACAATGGCAAAAATCTAATTTTAACTGTAAGCAAATACAAACATGGGCGGGGGAGGTTAAGACAAAGTTATAATAGGTAAATTCTGTTCATCAAAAATCAAAATGTTGATTCCCTTCAGGTAAAAACCATACAATAGAAATGAGTTGCTCAAAATAACAACAACAAAAAAAAACCCCGAAACATTTTAATAGCAATGTCAACTAAAAATAAAAAAGATGAAATTCAAACAGAAACATCTTCCTTTCCCACCTAAAAATCCATCCTCAGATCACAAAGAAACAAACGATGCAGTCTGCAGTACGATCCTGACCAGGTGTTACTGTGGTTGGTGTGACCCGAGCTGCAACGTTTGCTGGCTGGCACTTCCTGAGCTAAGTCTGCTGCTTTTCCCTTGAGCAGCTAAAGAGAAATGAGATGTTTCTCTTCAGAGAGAGGTGCTAAACATTTGGGTTGCATGAGGGACAAATGGAAGTTTGACACCTAAGATGAATAACCACAGTGCATGAGGCCAATGGGAACTTTCACTATGTATAAAGCCAGCCGAGCTCACTGTCACACAGTATTCAAGCACACAAGTGCCAGGACCCAGCGCAGGAGGCAAAGAACTATTTTTTCCTTTTAATACATTACCATTGGCCTCCAAGGATTTTCATAAATAAGACTCAGAGAAAGTCTTCGGAGTACGCTTTTAATAAACTCTCCAGGGCCCTTGCTCTGAAATATTTAAAAGGCTCCTGCATCCTCTCACACTCGATGAAGGCGACCACCTCAAGCCAAGGTTTACTGTGCTTTAAGAACTCATGACACCAAAAGTGTCATTATTACAGGTGCTTTCTTGCTAGGCCCAATTTATCTGAACCAAGAAGTCTTATTTAAAATTCTATGAAACACCCTCACAAGATTTCTGGTATAGACACACCTCTAAGAATTTCTGTTCTAGAAGGGTGTAATTAGCCAATTAAAATTTCCCTTCAGATGGAAAAAAAGAAAAAAAGCTTGATTGGCAAAGGTGGTTCTCCTGTGTAGGTAATACTATATTTAGGTCATGGGTAAAAGCTGTGCGAGCATACATATGTCAGTGTTTGCCTAAAAAAGAGCAGACACATAATAGAATTGTTAAAATGAGCCACCAGCAGAAACATTTCTGTGCGTGCCAGTTGGATCATCCGCAGTTACATGTGAACAGAAGATTCTGTGTGGGGAAGGGCTGGTCAGGGCCCTCCCTCACCCCCAGATGTTTTTCTAATCCTAACACCTGAGGGCAGCAGATACAGTAAACAAGCAGTTGTTTGTAATGCAAATCCAAGTAACAGGGCTGACTTGGGACTGCTCCCAGGCAAAGCCCAAACCCAAATGGTCACCCTGCTCCTGACTCCTGACACCCTAGATGCAAACCTATCACTGTGGATGTCAGTTGCACAAACACTCAGTCCTGCTAAGGACAGAGTTAAAGAGAAAGAGGCAGAAGTGTGGTTGGGGTAAAGAGGAGGGGCTGCCTTCCGGTTAAAGTGTTTTGGGTCTCAGACACACTAAAAACAGCTGTTAATTATTAAAAACCAAAGATTTCAACTCACTTCGGTCAGACCCTAAAAGAAAACAATTGAACATTGTCTCGTGGTTAAACCTGAAAAGCTTCTCAAATTGTGCAAACTGCAGAATATCCCAAGAAAGGTGCCTAAAATAAATGTGTTCTAAAATGTAACAGAATAAAGCAAGGCAGCAGATAGGAGGGTAAGGTAACTGTTTCCTGACCACACCCCTTTCCTCCACTCTACACCCACCAACATTTATTCTGGCCACAAATCTTTCCCAAACAATGAATGACTGTTCAATTCACTGACCTCAGAATTTTAATACATACACTAACAATAAATACTTTCCATTCTAACAATTTAAAATGATTAGTATACTGAGGGGGTAAAAATGCTGGTTTAAGGAGGAAGAGAAGCTTAATTTTCAGTATTCTTAGGAATAATTTATAAATATCAATAGACTTTAATTATACTGACTTTTTAAAAATTATTGCTTTGAAAGGAGAAGTGGCTAAAGAATAAATTCCACAAATACTTATTAGGCATTAACTGTGTGCACACCCTAAAAGTATAAGATTATTTTGGTAGCTATTTTCTATTGTTACCAAGTCAGAGACTATAATTTGATTGGTTGTTCTAAAAAGCCTTCAGCAGAAGTCTTCAGTTATTCCCTATCTAAAACATAGTCTCCTCCCCCTCCCCTCCAAAACATCCAACAAAAGAAAAACAGCCCAACTTTAAAATATCTGAATGTACACATATTTAATTCAACAATATAAAGTCTCCTACAAATTTTAAGACTCAGAAGCATTTATTTGGGTGGTCTCTAAATGTTAAAAACCATATTTGCTTTTATTAGTTCATTCACTTTTTAGATAAGAGATTTATATGTACCACACACACATTTCTATCATTAAGTATTAGAAAAGCCTTTTAAAATGTGAAATCGCTCTTTCCTATAACAACCATCACAAGATTTCCAAGATGTCCATTTTAGCTGCTATATGCAAATTAGAAAAATCTCATTCCCTACTTAAAAGGTCAAATATCTTTTTGGAACTTGTGGGAAAAAATTATAACTTCTAAATCACAGTGCCCGCATAAAGTGGTTGTATTTCATAGATCTATCGCTTCAATAGTTGAGGGCCACAGATAATCAACATAACCATAAATACTCTTGTTTGTTGATGACTGGTTAGGAGGTATTCCTCTCTCCTACTCTGTAGTATCTCATGGCTCCCAGATTCTGTCCACTGAGGTATCAATGATAGTACTTGCCCCCAGATGTCTGTGACTGATTTTTTTTTTTTTCACTTGGTGAAAGCAGTGGGCTAATAAGGCAAAGACTACAGGTTCCATTTTATAATCCTAGATTGACTCGCGGGAGGGCCAGTTAGACTGAAACCCTCATCCTCAACACCCAAATATACATGTTTTTCATTGGGGTTTGGGTGGTTGAGGGAGAGTGAGGCCAGAAAGAAGGTATATATATTGACGGAGCAATAAAAACCCATCACTACCTACGAAGAGACAAATCTCAGGGAGAACTCCATCACCAGCACATTTCACATTCATGTACTACAGAGGTAACCCTTTAGCTGTTTTCTTACTATATAAATGAGGTCTCCATGTTATGCATAATGTGTAAAGCAGCTATAATGCCACTGGATTTTTAAAACTTGAAAGTTAACTGAACCCCGAGATAAAAAAGAACAATTTTCATTAGAATTATCTTCAAGTGATACTTTCTTAACAATTGACAATAACGCAAAAAATAGCTCATTCCTCCCCACCCCCAAACTGATTTTAAAGAGACATTAGCTAACACAGTGAGACACTGTTTTAAAAGCTGAAGTAACATTTCCAATATTCAGCTCCAAATAAGCCAAAGGAGTTCTGATTCTACATAGCTTATGGGCAATGAAACACATACAGCACTTAGTTAATTGAAAGATTAAATCAATTTCTCTCATCAGAGTAGAAAGCAAAATACTCATAAAATCATGAATTTGCTGATTTAAATTCAATGATTCCATGATAGCTCATGATCTGTTTTTTATTATCTTAACCAATACCCCAAAAGCTAAAATTCCAAGTGCAAAACATCAAAAGTAGCAATATTGTATGTAAGGCAGCCATTCCTCGTAGCAGGTCTTATTTAGCAACGACTGGTCATACATAATGAAAGCATTTCCAGTGTCTAAAAAAACAAACATTTTGCCAAAATACAAAGTAATTTACACTTCTGAAATAATCTGCAACATCAGCATGTTACTCACTGTTCTCGGGATGGGCGGAGAAAGAGATCCATTTGACATGTATGGGTCATTATTCATGTTTGGCATCATTATGTACCCGGAATAACTCGAGTAAGAGGGTCCCTTGTTGTAGAGTCCTCCATCTGGATGCTTTCCTGAGAGAATGCAAAGAACAATCAAATGTGCTTTGACTTCCTTCTTATATCGCTGTATTTTTCATTGAAAAGTTAATAGTACTACTACAAATCACACCTTACATAAGAGATTTGTTTACGAAGTATTGTAACTGGATTATTATGCTCTATTTTAGATTGACAGTATTTATTCCCTTAAATGGCTTAGCAGTGAACCAGATGTTTTAAAAACATGTGGTTCAATTTATTGCCACTACTGACTGGTTTTTTACTGGTGTTTTTACAAAAATAAGTGTTATCCATCTAACTTAATTTGTTCTAATACTAACAAACTGGACTAAGAAATACAGACACATGAAAGAAGGCACAAAGCTGTAATATAAATATACTAGGCCATTCAGCTATACCCACACGTATATATTTATACACTTGAAGTTATGCTCCATCTTATTGGCAAACTCAAAAATTCTACCTGTGCTTCTAGATTTCTGGAAAATTTCTAGATTTTACTGAGGGAGCAAGTTGTATCTAGCATATGGGCAACTACCGAAATTTATGAAGGATTAACTACAGGAGACTTAATTTTATGTGCTACACTTACATCACTCTGGTAAAGAAATGTGTGTTTGTTCACTGTATACATTTCTCCTCTTTAATCTGTGTAACTACTTTGTAGCTCAGAAGGAAGCCTGATATTATAGTTCTCTTCTCTTCTTCCCCTAGCTGACATATTGTATATGCGAACACCTCATTCTGGTCAGGCCAATTGTAAGTAATTAAAGGAGAACAGAAATGTAGACTGTTCAACAAGGGAACCCTAAAGATTACAGATTCTTTTAAAGTCACACGGAGTTCTCCTTAAATCTTAAAAAATATGTAGAATTTTTACAGTTTTGAGCAAGAATCGGAAATGGGGAGAAAGTCTATCACATTCCATATGCATAGTTCTTAATTTTAAGAATAACGTTTTATATTTTTACAAGTTAGATTCTTCTTTACTGAGCCATATTTAGTCTGTGCATACAGTGCCTGCCTTCTCACTGTAACACTATAACAAGAAACAGCAATTTCACAAATGAAAGCCCATTTGAAACTATTCTTGTTGGAAAATAAATTGGTGTAGACTGTCACTCTTTATAACAATGCAGGAAAAAATAGTAAAGATCTACAATTAGAACTTTAGGTAAAATGAGAAAACTAATTATAGACATTTCTCTTCCACAAAGAATCTGGAAGCCAACAGAAATTCAAAAGCCCCTAAATCATTCAGACAGTTTTTAAATTATGTAACTATACATTAGTGATAAGCAATAAGTTTCCCGGGTTTTCTTTCCCATTTTGTTACAACACAGGCACAGTCTTATCACATATGATTCAAGTTTCTTGGATGCAAACAAAAACAGCAAAACATACCTACATTCACAAATTGCACATGTTAAATGTTAAGGTTGGGAAAGATAGAATTAACATCTTACCGTCATCAGGGTGTTCTCTGGCCTTGTCGTGGTAGGAGTCCTGAGAGGTTTGTGCTTGTCTGGCCACCTAACAAGACGAATCCCCACCCCCAAAAGAAAGATCACTTTAGAGTTTGTGACAATGATGATACGTGTGTATCCACTGGTAACTCAAAAGAGGAGAATCAGGTGCAACTCCATCTACTTGTTTATTAATCTAAGAGGATAGGCTAAGGCTGAGTACTGGGAAATCTTTCTCTTTTCAACATGTGTTTTTGAAAATTATCTACCCAGGACTACCAGCTATAAATGATAATAACAACAGAAACAAACTTGCGAACAATCCATATGCTGTTCTGACCACTGTTTACTAAAACACAACAAGGCTACTTGGATACCTAATACGACAAGAATTTGAGTTAACGGCGGCGTTAATCATTTTGATGGCTTCTTCAACCACTGTTTACTTCAATCAGAGCTGATTGACAGCGGGCTGAAATATTTTGCAACTGAAAATGACATTTAACTAAAAACAAGCCCATCGCTCACAAATGGAGATCTTAGGCAACTGTCCCAAACCAATCCCAGCAGGAGCTCTTCTCCTCATAAGCTACCATGGCTGGCTCAGTGCAAGCTTACAAGAGAAAAGTAAACTGTTCTGTGGTTAAAGGAAGGAAAACTTGAAAATTGGGCTACAGACTTCTAAAAGGTAGCCCAGCTAATGTCAGTTTTGGTAACCATCATCCACCCAGACTCAACCACCTGCAAATCAGCGGTATTACCCCTTCACTGTCTTCCTTGGGTCTGCCCCATGCCCACTTACCACTGGTAAAGATTAACAGAGCCCTAATAGGAGTTCTGGACTTCAAATGCAGCACCCTTCTCCCCAAGGCAGAAACGTTTAGAAAATGTGAAGTGCGTAGCAACTTTCCTTATAGAAAAAGAAAGGACGAGGAAAAGGAGTAGGAATTTTAAAAGGCTGCTCTACAAATATGAGTTTGGCCTCGAATGTTTTGGATGTCATTTGGTTCCTGGGACATCTGTCCTCCCACTGGCCTCCTTCCCCCCATACACACATAGTCACAAATCTTTTAAGTGGAGCTGGGTGTGCCCTGGCCACCCCTAGGTTCCCCCCTAATTGGCATATTGGGATGAAAGACTCAGGGTATGGAGAACACCCCTATGCTCCCCTTAGAACCCAGGCCCCCGGGCTTCCAAAATGCGTACTCACCCCTGCCATTGGGATAAAGAAGGCAACTCTGAGGTGTTCTTAAACTTACTGTTTAAAACCCAAAATGTCCCCGCCCCCAAAACCACACGCTTTCTTTTTGGGGGCAGAAGGATGCCATTTAAGGAAAAAGAATATACCCTCCAAATTTCTTTGGAGGGAAAAAGCGTTGGTGAAATCATCTGAGTGTCAGGACTTTTCTACCGGATTTCCTCCAAAGCGTTTCCCAGTTGTTGAACAAGGGTGGCCAGTAGAGTGTCGGGTATCAGGGTCCATCCGCCCCCCCCTCCCCCCTCTTCTGAAGCTCTCCGCGAGGCCTGAAATAGCCCTTCCGCGAGGTCCTGCTCACTGGCTTTCTCTCGCCAGCACCCACGTGTCTCTATTTACTCTACTCGGGTTACCATCGCTATCGCCCGCAGCCGGCCAGGAGATGTGATAAAGCGCTTTCCACCCTCCCCTGAGTGAGTGCACTGGTTTCCGCTGCATCTCTCCGACTCGCCCTTCTGCAAAGATTGAAAGGCCTGATTCGGGCCCAAACCAACCCCAAATATAAGCGTACTTTTTTTCTTTACGTGGCGATGATTGGAGCAAGCTAGTGTTGCGGGCGGTACTGCGAGGCCCCCCCCCGCCCTGGGGTGGCTCGGCTCGCCCACGGCTGCTGGCAGCCGGCCCCAGAGGCCCAAAGGACCCGCGCCCGCACCGCCCCCGCCGCCCGGGCGCGCGCCCCCTCGGCCGGCCGGCTGCGCAGCGGTTGGGACCGCCCCGCCTGTCCCCGGCCCACGCCCGCCTCCCCTTCCTCGGGCCTGTGCCTCTTCTCGCCTTTACCTAAGCCTTTGGTGGTTTAACGCACTTTTGCAGAGACATCTACCGAGAAAGATAGCGGGTGCACTCTGTCTTCCGTCCTACGGAAGAACTTCTCAGTAGTGTTGTTCAGACATCCTCGCTTTAATCGCACTCCCTAAACCCCACTAAAAAGTCCGAAGGCCAAACATGATGGGTTAAGGGCAGGTTCTCCTGGCCGCAAACCAACGGTTTAAGTCACCAAACCCCAAAACTGATCCACTTGGAATGTTTCCCAGCACACCACACACACACACACACACACACACACACACACACACACACACACACAAAGAAAGAACACTAACCAGGAGCCCAGCCACCCGCCCCCATCCCCCCACCCTGCAGACCTAATCGGGACCCTTCAGCCAGGGCTCTCCAGCGCCTTCCCTCCCTTCTTCCCTCTCTGCTCTTCCCTGGGACCCGCCACGCCTCTCAAAGCTCGGGGCAGCAGCCCGCTCACCTCGTGTCCGTTGCTCGCCGGGATGATTTCGGATTCGTTAACCAAGGAAGACTTGATGTCGGCTAAGTCACCTTCCTCTTCAGGGTGACTGATTTCGGCGAAAATCTTCTCCTTCTGGGGATCGCCCTCGTCTTTGAAGGGGATCATCTCGTCCGTGGCGCAGAGTTCCGGGTCCCCCCCACCGCCGCCGCCTGCCCCGGAGAGTTGGGGCATCCCGACCACTCTGTAATCTCCGCTCCGCTGGGGGAGCACCCCAGGCGACAGCAGAAAAGAGAAGGGGTCAACGAAAAGGGGAGGAGGAGAAGGAGGATTGAAAGGATGCTTGAGGAAGGAGAGCAGGCGGAAGCCGGGCTGGAGAGCGCCTGGCTGGCGGCCGGCAGCCGGAGCTGCTGCAGCGGCGCCCGCGCCCCGGTGGCCGCCCGTGCCTTCCCACTCCGCAAAGACCTACGCCCGCGCCCGTCCCCGACGCCGAAAGACACAGGGATGCGAGGGCCGCAGCAGCTGGCGCCTCTGGGGGCGTCTGTGCTGCGCGCTAGGCTAGGCTGCCCGGGCGGCCGCCCCACGCCCCCAGCGTCTCCGGGGTCTGCGCGCGGAGGACGCCAGTTCCGGAGGAGTTTTGACTCTCCAAAGGCCAGTGGAGAGTCCGTCGGCGCGTCTCTACGCAAATCTCTCCACGTTTGCTTTCCCAGATGCCGATCTGGGAGTCTGTTTTCCAAGAAAAGAAGGGAGCTAGGCAAAACGGCTCCGTTTGTCCCAGTAGAGGCGGTGCAAAGAGAATCAGAAGATAACGAAATGTCCACTTCCTGGAGGATAAAAAAAAAAAAGAGCCACCCGGATTGGAGATGTCCGTTTTAAAGCTTCTTATTTCCTTCCCTTTCGCTTCGGTTTTCTTTCTCCAGGAGCATTTAATCTGCCAGAGGAAAAGGTGGGGGCGGAGGAGGAGGGAAAGAGAAAGAGAAGAAGTTTCCCAAGAATAAAGTTTGTGTCGGCGAGTGCAGGGAGTCGGCAGTGGAGGGCACGGCTGGGTCTCGAGGAGTCACAGCAGGGGCCTCAGACCCAAAAGATTCTGCCGGGAGCTGGAGCCGACACACACACACGCACACGCACACGCACGCACACACACACACACACACAAAACCCGATCCCTCTTTGTTCCCGTCTCGAGTTTCCTCAGTCTGGCTCGCTCGCTCTTTTGCTCGCCGCTCTCCACGCCTCCGCCGCACCGCTTGTCAAAGCAAAGAGCTTCACCCCTCGGGTTCGCCAGGCCCGGGGGAGGGGACGCCCCGAGCTTGGCCGCGTGCGGGGCTGCGGGAGCGTCCCAGCTCCTCAGCCGGAGAGCGCGCAGCCTGGTCCCTCCTCCACGCCCTGCCCCGCAGGTGAGCGGCAGCGCCTCCCCGCCGCTTCTCCTCCTCCCGCGCCTCGGCGGCGCTGAAAAGCTACCCTCTTGCGTCGCTTCTCCTCCCCTTCCCTCCCCCGCCTCCAGCTCTCCTTGGCTGCCCGCTGGGGGGTGCGGGGGGGGGGAGGTGGGGGACGACGAGAAGGAGGAGGTGATTGAGGACTTTTTTTTTTTTTTCCCAGAGCCTGTAGGACGAGTCCTAGGTTTTGGGGTGTGTGTTTGTGTGTGTATATGTGTGTGTGTGTGTGCGCGCGCGCGCGCCTAGAGGAAAGATTCAGGCAACTTGGCGAGCGCAGGAAGGACCCGGCGCTTCTTGTAACCCACGGGAGAGACGCTTTGCCCGCGTGAAATTGACAAGAAACTCTGCCCCAACGGTTTAACTTCATCATCTAAGTGTCTCTTCCTTGTTCCCTTCCCACCCACCCCCCTCCTTCCTCTGCCAGTCTCTCCCCCACCTCCTTTCCGCCTCCCTCTCTCCCTCCCTTGCTCTACCAGTGGGAAGAAGATGAAAGAGAAGCCGCCGCAGCTGTGATCGACACCACATTGATAGATGCTCTGACAGAGGGGATGAGGCGGGAATCGGGGACACAGAGAAGGAAAAGGGGAAAACATAACACATTGCTCAACTAATAAGACAGAAAGGAAGCAAGATGAACAAGAAAGAGTTGTGGCTTTCCTAAATACATTGTAAAAGGACAAGGGAACACATGCTGGCAAAAATAAAACCTCCAGGCTTACCGAGAAATATAGGAGGAGGAAGGAAAAACTGAAGACTGGATCTTAATTATCGTTTTTTAAGCAAGATCTTTTTCATTACATCCTTACCATGGGATGCTCACAGAGAGCTATGCTACAGGTCGCTCGTGGATTTTCGAAGATACATGCCACGATGTGTGGGAACCTCATAAAGAATGAAAAAACAACCCAAGTAGGGGGAAGAAAAGGCAAAAGGACCCAGGAGAGTGAAGCCAGTAGCAGGAGGGAGGACGGTGCAGTCTCTGGCACCTCGGACTGCGGCCTCAAAGAGACCCTTGAAGATGCAAATCCGAATCCAACCTCAAAAATTCCCCAGCCTCCACCGTCTCTTTGATGCATTTTGTACAAGGACAGGACTTTTAAGGAGATGCTTTGTGAAAGTTACAGTATAAACGAAGCTGAAGTTTGAAAACACATTACATTTTATTCCTTGGCTCTCAAACCCCCTCAGTTAAAAATCCAGGCAAAATTATTATACCCAATACAGTAGCCATCTGTAAAACCTCAGAACAGTAAACAAGAGGCAGGAAGAAACGTGTCTTCATCTCCCTCAAACTGAAAATAGGGAAAACGTTACAGAATCAGACTTTAGCCGTACTATACAGGAATAGTCATGCAAAGATCCCTCTTCTTTTCCTAAGGGGGAATTTGCATGCTGCTAGACATTGTATAAGTAAGCCCTTAACAGTGCTCTAAATGAACACTCAAAACTTCACTTACTGATAATTACTTGATAGAGATGGGAATTCACTAGGAAGCAATTTTTAAAACTATCATTTAAAGGGTTCAATTGGTCACATAGAGCATGGCCAGTAGTCACACGATAAATTCTATCTGGGGGGTTGGGGTAAAAGTAAAGGGCTAGTGATGGGAGCCAGGAAGAGTAAAACATTAAATCCACTGTAAATAGCTGACAGTTCTATGCCTTAGATGAAAAACAACAACAACAACAAAAAGAATAATCTGCTACAATGTGTAAGGCAATACTAAAAACATGGGGAAAAACCCAATTTTATTTTTTGGGTCGGTAGCATTATGCAACTTCCCTTGAAGTTATGCACCAGTGTGAGTGTAATGTCTCAGAGATGTGAACACGTAGCTATGTCAGACATTTATACCCTCTGTTCTAAAAGAAATATGGGAAAACAAAGTAAAAAGCCCTCCCACAAATGCTCCAATTTGACCGATAGAAAAAGAACTGGAAAATGCAGTTTCACCAAAGCAGCCAGAGTAGACGTTCCTTTTCATCAAACTGTCGGGGGGCGGGGGGCACACAGAATGGCCAGAGGGTATTTTCTGGAAGCCAAAGAGAGATTAAATGACGACTCCTACATCCCCCACCCTCCGTTAAAGTGTTGCAACTAATTCGAATCCCATTTACTCCTTCATGTTAATTATCTGGACTCCCTGAGTCATTTGGAACTCAGCTCCCGGTGTCCTGGAGATTAGGAGCTCGAGAAGATGGGAATTTTGGGAACAATAACTAGTGGGAACTGTTTACTAGAAGGGCCGAGGGTAGGTGGCTGCGTTCTCTATTTTGCGGCAAACCTCTCTTCTGGAAAGGTTGTTTCTAACGAAATCACCCAGCGCCTTACTGTATGTGCGTGCTGTTTTCCCTCCCCGTGGCGTGCGGGGTGTTGGCTGATTGTCCTTAGCATTGCTGCAAATCTTCTGACGAGGTGCACTTAAAAGGAGCTTGACTAGAAGACATTCACTCAAGTTTTTTTTTTTTTTTTTTTAAAGCTTTGTCTGGGAGGAAGATTGACATTTCCACGTGAAGTCTGCCTCTCCCGGGGGGTAAAAAGCTGGGAGACGCAGGAGGGGCGAAGTAACCCTGGGAAGATGTTCCTCGCTCCCTACAGGTTCGGTGAAGTTCCTGGCAAAGGCATTTCTATCACGGAGAGGTCTCTTCTAATTCGCGCGAGGGCTGCTATTAACATATGCAACCGCCTCTTCGGGCGCAAGGTCCGGGATGGTGATGGGTGCGGAGCGGGAGAGACACCGCCGCCCGCCGCCCCCTTCCCTCGGATGTAGAGGCAGGTTGTTCGTGTGAACTCGGGCGAACGACTGGAGGTTAGCTGTTGCAGGTTCACTCCTTCAGGATGTGGGTTTCAGGGGGCGTTTTGATGTGATTTAATTCCGACCGTGAAACAATTGCTAGGGGCTGGCTGGCTTGCTGTTGGTTTTCCCTCTTTTGGTGGCTTTGGTTGGGGTTTAGTTTGGGAGCGAACTGTGACTTGTTTTCTATCAACACTTCCTTCTGCGCCGGGCGTCGTCCCCCGCGTTGCGCGTGGACGGGCGAGGCGCCCACTCTGCGCCGGAACAGAGGAGAGGGGGCTGCAAAGACGGTTCTCGAAACCTGCAGAGTAAACGCGGTCCAACCCCCGCGGGTGCGGACTGGGGAACTAGGAGGTTGACCCACACCAATACCGGAGACCCCTCCTCCCCGCCGGGGGTGGGGGGCGGATTTTGCTGTCGAGTCGAGTCAGCTACAGACACTCAAGTGAGTCCTTAATTACAGGGAGGAGAGAAAAGCGCGGTGCCCTTCAGAGCCCTCTCCGCCTCCTCAGCCCTAACCCCCCGCCCGGGCTCTGGGTCTCCCCCTTTGTGTGGCCTGGACTCTCTCCCAGCTACAACTTTGGTGGGATCCCAGAGGAAGGAGGTGGCGGGGCCTACGGAAGAGAATGCTGGAAGAGAGAGAAGCGTGAAGGACTGGAAAAACGAATAATGTGATTCCAGGGATGGAACTCCGGCACCCCCGATCTCCCACCCCAGTATCACCAGGGGACTAAAGCTGTGGGCATCTTCAGTTTAACGGACTTCTCGGAAAGGGGAGGGGGGATGGCGAGGGAAACGGCAGTTTGTGTCCCAGGGGTTCTTCCGCCTCTTCTTTCTTCCTCCTAAGACAAACAAACTCAACCCCCCACCCGCCGGGGTAACCGAGAACTCAGGGGACCGTGAATATGTCGTTCCCAAATCTGGCCGCCTGCGGACGCCGGGCTTCCGTGGGGCCGGCGCCCCTTGGCGCCTGCAGCTCCGCGCAGCCTCGAGGGGTCCGCCCACGGAGCCCTCCGGTGGCATCTCCCGTGCTCGGGCGGGCCGGGCGCGGGGTCCGCGTCTCGCTGGGGTGGGTATGGGAGCCCTCCTACAGTCTGTGGGCTCGGCCGGCCGACCCTCTGCCAAGCTGGAGGCGAGGGCTCACGTCACGGGGGCGCCCAGAGGGAGAGGAGGCAAGCTGGGGTGTTCAAGGACTGGAACGAGCGGACGCTGAGTGGGCTTAGAGGAGGGGCACGGGCCAGAGAGAGCCCCGCCACGCGCCCGCACCGCTCGGCTCCGCGACGGGAGCCCCCATCAACCCCCCTCGGGGACTCGGCCTCCCGCACAGAGAAGCCGGCGTTACGTCTGGGGATCCCCAGAGTGGAATGGAATGGAATGGGTGTGGGAGCTGGAATACATTTGCGGGCAGCAGGACGGCTCGCCTAGTGGGCTGGACGTGAAATGCTTTTTCCTCCTTTCTGAAAACTTTCCTCAGGCGTCTCAACTTGGCGTGCGGACCAGCCTCGGGCTGCCGGCTGGTAGCGCGAAAGCCGCGGCCAGCCCTCCGGCCCTTTTCCTCCGCCGCTGGTCCTCCTTCACCCGCCCTCAGACCGGGGACGCGCGCGCAGCGCCCGCGCAAAAAGGCCGATTGCGCGCGCGAGCCGCACCTTATATCCGCGGTGGGCGGCGCCTGCGCAGGGCCCGGCGCGGCGGCGCAGCCTTTGAAGTCTTGGCGGCTGCCGCTTTCATCCTTTCTTTTTTCCCTTGCAGGCCCCTTTGTGTGACTAAATTTGGCAAGAATATGGATCCGAGCCAGTCTTTCCACGTGTGCTCCCAGCTCCCAGCTGAGAAGGCCAAGGGTTCTCTTCCGGGTAAGGAGACAGGGAGAAAGATCAAAGAGTTTGGGGAGCTGGATCTGAAATGTGAATTGAAAATAAAAATCAAGCCTGGACACATTCCAGTTTCTAAAGCAAAACCAACCCTCAACAGAGGCCGTCTCGCTAGGACTCTCGTTCTGCCTCGGCTTTCTGTACTCTTTCTTTCCCGCAACCATTCTTGAGCACATGGAGTAGAATAAAGAGGACATAGGGAAACAGTTTCTCCGGATTTTGTTTTGCAGTAATTTTATTACGGAAAATATCTTGTTCGTAATTACCGTTATGTGAATCCGAATTTCTTCAGCC